ATTCAGCAATCTGTATACGGGGTAAAAATGGGAGTTCATAACCCACTTGAATCAAACTGTGAAATATGATATATCAAGAACTATGTAATGTTTTGAATGACCAACAATAAAAAAAGAAAAAAAAAAGAAAATTTAAAATATTGAGATTATTTTGGTCAGAATATTTTTCATGCCAATGTGCAAGTAACTAGAAACCAGGAATAATCAAACAAATTCGTACACTGAAAAAAAAATATCAGAATTAAGCTGAAATCATTAATAAAAGAAAATTTCCAATTATGTAAAAATTAAAGAATAAACTTTTATGAGAAATCATAAAGAAATAAAATATTTGGGAACTGAATTATAAAAAAATACAAAAATTCAAAACTTCTGTAATRTAGGCAAAAGTCATGTATATAAATTAACTTAGACCCTTAAGTACAGATATTAGGAAGTAAGAAGGGCTGACTACCTGATAGTACCCACTAAAGTGTGCTTTTTCTTTTATGTTTTTCAGGTGCTGGGTACCAAACCTAGGGCCTCATATATTCTAGGTAACCATTCTACTACTGAGCTATATTGCCAACCCTAAAATGTGTATTTTTTGACACAGCAATTCAACTCCTGCACACACACACACACACACACACACACACAATTTGTGCACCAAAAGATATACATAAAAGATGTGTACATTAACATGTAACTCTAACAGTAAGAAACTGGCAATAAACTGTAATGTATATTGTTATAGGTTGGATGTGATGTGTCCTCCAAAAGCTCTTGCKTTAATGCAGAAGATGAAATGATTAGATTAGATTATGAGAGCTATCACTTAGTCAGAGGATTAATAATTATGGATTAATGCTCTGGGTAGTAACTGACTGTAGGCAGGTGGGCACATGGCTGGAAGAAGTAGGTCACTGGGGGATGACTTGAGGATTATATATTTTGTTCCTGGCTCCCTGTACTCTTTCTCTGCTTCCTGGCTGCCAAGAGCTGAGAAGTTTTCCTCCATAATGCCTTTCCACCRTGATGTTCTGTCCCACTTCAGATTCATAGCAATGGAGTCAAGTGACCATGTACTGAACCTGTGAGCCAAAATACACTTTTCCTCCTCTGTTGTTCTTGTCAGGTATTTTGGTCACAATAATGAAAAGCTGACTACATATATAACAATTGTAAAAGGGATATAAAGAATTTATGGTGTGTACACCAAAGTAGAATGTTGTATAGCAATAAAAGCAGATTGGATGAATCTTGAAATGCTATTGAACAAAAGAAGCCATCAAATACTACAGATGGTAACATTCCAGTTTTACAAATTACAAAAAAGACAAAAAATTAACCTGCAATGTTAACAAGTATTGTTTTTAGGGGGTCATAATGAAAAGTAATGACAATGAGGGGACACAATGGAAACTTCTGTGGTTATAGTAATAATCTATTTTATGATCTTGGTATTGGTTACATTTATTAATTTGCTTAGTGAACAGCCGTTAAGACACCCCCCAATCAAGGAAAAACAAGTTCTGGTCTTAACAGCTATTTGATCAAAAAGATTTCAGGCCAATATTAGRAAACACTCCTGTGTGAAGAATTGTGGGGAACTAATAAAGTCTGACTTCAAAGAGGAATGACATTATGACCTAAGTTTCAGTCATCTTTAAATACTGGGTTGTTTCACGAAAGAACAACTTGATTTAGCTCTAAAAGACAAAACGTAGCACAATGAAAGAAAGTAAGTTATCAAGATTTAAATTCTGTTAATAATAAATCCCAATAATGGAAMGAAGATTGTCTCAATCACAGATTCTGAACTTGTTTAAACAAAGGGAAAAAGACCACTCAGCAGGGAAAAGTGGAAAAGTCTGCTATACCAAATGGAGATAGGAGACGATCACTAWCTAACCTCCCTTCCATGACCTTTAGTATCTATGCATCCAACCAAAATAAAAAAATCTTACCCTTAATCGTGTAGTGGAGATCTCAGCTTTTAAAATATCAGGATCATATTTAGTACTGGATGAAGACCCTGAGAATACTTTTGCAAGAGGAAAAAAAGAAAGAATAATTATTTTCAAGTTGCCTAACTAGTTCTCTCACTTTAGAATTTACTGACTCTAAAAAGAAGATTTATATTCTTCAGTGGATACTTACTTTCTTTTTGCAATTCCTTTGTCATTCAGACACCTAAATATAAAATTAATCTTCAAACCTCTATAATTATTTTAAAACTCATGAAAGAGAAATACCATAAATTAATTTATTCTAGATTGTATATATACTATGTCCTTAGAGGACTATATTGCAGATGCAGCTAATCAGGGATTTACATTTTGCATGTACTTATAATTTAAGTAGAACTTCCAAGCCCATCAAAACTGCTTCTTTTAAAAGGATCAGCTCCAGATTATCCATATATAAGATAAAGGAGAAGTAAATGGGGTGGGGGGGGGGCAATGTGCAGAAACTTTGTTCTAACTAATAGTTCCAGTTTCTCATCACTAAAAATATTGTACAAGAGTAGCAAATGGAGCCAAATGACTTGCCTTGTTCTGAAAAAGTACAAATCAACTCATCAATGAATAAAAAGCATTATAAGAGGCAAGAGTAAAAACAGAAGGTATGCATAATTCCCAAATGGGGAAACTTTTATCTGGAATGGGTCTGAGATATTTTACTGAGAAATCTGTAAGGTTCCCTCACCTCTCATGGCTTAGAGGAATTCTTCTTGCCTAGGAAAGGAAAAGGGCTCAAAAAAAAAAAAAAAAAAAGTGCAACTGGCCTTCTATTATCTACAACCCCATCTTCATTTCTAAAGTATGAACAGCCACACTGTACTTACGGCTTGTGTGAGAACTTGACTTTTCCTTATAAGCATCATTTAATCGTACATATTCATCTAGGGCCAAAGCCAGTCTTTGTTCCTTCACGTGGTACAGCTCCTTCTGTGTCCTGAGTGCATCCTGAGCCACTGAGAGATAGTCCTTGAGCATTTTCTCCTGTTCCCCTCGCCATTGTTTTCTTGGATCTTCTATCTGCGTGGTTTCTGAAAATATAAAAGGTGAGGTTTGCTTTGTTTTACAATTTAACAGTGTTTAGAGGATTTAAGCTCAAGGGACTACCTAGTTTAAATTCTCGTATCCTCTAAAAAGTTTATTAGCATTTCTGGAGTGATTTCTCCAAAAATTCAAGAGTTTTTGTTTTTTATTTTGCCAAATCTCCAACCCCTACCCCTTMATTTTCAGTTTCTTGCCAATAATACCTTCTTACTATAAATCCATCATACAAAAGTTGCCATTCAGGAGAGGGGATGGAACTCAGTAATAGAATGCTGGCCTAGCAAGTGTGAGCCCCTAGGTTGAATGCCCAGCAAGAGTAGGTGAAGTGGGATGGCAACCAGATCATTCTCTTGAGAATTCTCACCAACAGAATAAAAGGCAAGCTATTCATTACAGCATTTGAGGCCCTGTACACTCTGTACTCAACTCACTTTGCTTGCCCATGATTCCATTAATATAGGACTCCTAAGGGTCTGCCCTCTACATCAATGCCACTCCAAATCTGGTTCACAGACTACTAACAATACATGAGTTCAGTTTCCTGTCCATGACAATAAGTAGAAAATCAAGAGTCAACATTTTGAAATTTTCATATCAATTTTATTCAGTTATTGTATATCTGTAGAATCTAATAATATTGGGGTTTGCATTATTTTGTTTTTAATTTTTCTAGTAATTCATCTTTATTATATTTTATCAAAATATCAGTCAGTACATGGTAGAGTATAAAATGAAAAACAAACAAACCCCCAGTTCCTGGCTTAAGGAGAACACTCTATTCTAAGGTACTTGATTCTGCATACTTGAATCACTTAGAGACTCTGTAAAAATTTCTAGACCAATAAAACCTCTTCAGGTCGAATACAGCCTCTGATAGGCTTACTTTCATTTTTTTTTTTAAATGTAGTTTGTGAGTTATTTGTTTGATACTGGGGATTGAACCCAGACCTAACACATGCTAGGCAAGTGCTCTACCACTGAGCCACAAGCCCAGTGTTCTGGTAGTTTAAAAGCTCTTCAGAGGACCCAAATGAACGTCCAAATCTGAGAACCACTGCTTTACAATGAAGCTCATATGCTATCTCTTACATGAAGCCCCCCTGCCAACCCCTCAAACTGCCAGCAACTCTTCATCTGGGGTCCTCCATAGCAATTTATGCTTCTTTTTTAAACTTGAAATTAATTCTTCACTATTTGGTAAGCCACAAAGCATAAAYAAAAATGAAAACAAAAGGATACAGACCATCCTGATTTTTAAAAAAATTTTATAATAGACAAATGTTTTTGTGACATGTTGAGCCAAGAAGTTGGGGTACACTGGTGTTTGGCACTGGGATACCATGGTGTTTTCAAGGGACTGGGCAGTGGTTGTTAATTCACAAGAAGGCTAGTGCAGGTTGGCTAAGGAATCTCACCTATGTCTACAGATATGTACTATACCTCTCCACTGTGAGACAGGGTAGTAGCTGTCTCCAGGCAGAGGAAGGGTTATGATTGGGAAGATTATGTAAGAGAGGCTTCTTGGGTGCTAGCAATATTGTTTCTTTCACTTGTCACAATTACATTACAAAATTATTTGTTCGACCTATATATTTTCAACTGTGTACTTTCCATGTTATATTTCATAAATATAAATATTTTAAAAGTCAGGGTATTATGACTTAAGATTTTGACTCTCCCAGAATATTTTGCCTGGGTGTACCCCAATAACACCAAATACAACCTGCAGATAATGTGGGGAAAAAAGGAGGTTACCTTTAATATAGAAAATACATGAGGTTTGATACACACAGATTACATGAAGTGGAGATTTAATTTTTTTTAAAAAGCATGTTGAAGACCATGATACAGGGCCACTAACTAGAAAACTAAAAAGCATTTATGAAACAATGATTCTCAGATATTAGACAACAGGTAATACAGGACTATGATCTCTAAAAGAAGGAAAATGAACTCTAAGATTACCTCCACGTTTCTGCCTGAAAATATTTTTGGACAGCAGTGCAAAAGGGATAATCTGAGCAGAGAAAGGAGGTCCTGCTAAATTACGGAGGGAGCACAGATTTCAGGAGGGCCCTGATAGATGGAATTTGTAGAATGGAGTTATAGAAGATCCAGAAATTTGTAGAGGAGCTGTATTAAGTTTCTGGGTAAATACTAAGATGCACAAATGGGGGCAACACATAAGGCCAGGCAAACAATAATTGGAGCTCTGTAAGTAGAAATTCTCAAGCACATGCAGGGCTATGCCAGGTTCAAATTGTGACTAGCCAGAGGCAAGTGGCTACAGTAAACATCTGGGAAATTCAGTGGCAACAACTATGGAGTTATACTCTAGTCTTGGTGCTAAGTAAGACACAGAGCAAAAGCTACTTTGAATATGACCTATAAAACTCTAAAACAAATATCTAAAGAATCAGGTAACTTAAGTACTCTATTGAGTGGGTGGTGGTGGTGGGATAAGTAGAAAACTCTTTTTAAAGGATAAAAAAAACTTGCACCCAGGAATAACCAAACAAACAAACAAACAAAAAAAGTAACTACTTTTCAGCATCCACTAGAAAGTTACTAGATAGGATAAAACAAAACAAATATATGGCTCACAGCCAGGAGAATAATCAATTAGTAGAAAGAAACTTGAAAATGTAAAGATGATAGAATAAGCATAATCTGGATAAAACAGCTATCACAGTCCTGAATAAAGTCCTGAAATAAACACACACACACACACACACACACACACACACACACACACACTCCATCCCAATGGCTAGGACACAGGTAAAAAGAGGCTCAACATCATCAATCATCAGGGAAATGCAAGTTAAAACTATGAAGTGATACCACCACACCATAACTAAAATGACTAAAATTTTAAAACAGTAACGTCAAGTGATGGGACATGGAACAACTGAACTCTCATTCATGGATACTAGAAATGTAAAATACCATAATTTGGGTGTGGGAGGTATAACTTAGCCATTACCATACAGCCCAGTAACTCAATAACTTGTTATCTGCCCAAGAGATATGAAAATACATATCCACAAAAAAGACCTGTATACAAATTTTCATTAACAGCTTTACTTATAATAGACAAAACTGTCCATTACAAGTCAAAGTAAATTTTTGTATAACCACACAATGAAATACCACTTAGCAATAAAAGAAAGCATAATACTAACATACAACGTGTATGAATCTCAAACACATGATGAGGGAAAGATGGCAGACACAAAAGAGTACATGCTGCTTGTTTCCATTTATATGAAATCCCAGACAGAAGTAAACTGAATCTAATGACAGGAAGCAGATCAGTGGTTGTCTGGACCCAGCAGTCTGGGAAGTACTTGTTACAATGGAACACAAATGTTCTTTTTGAGGTAATGAAAGAAACGCTGATTATTGCAATGGTTACATGGTACACATTTGCCCAAACTCATGAATTATATACTGARAATAGATGCGATTTGGGCTGGAATTGTAGCTCAGTGGTAGACTGCTTGCCTGGCATGTGTGAGGCACTGAGTTTGATCCTCAGCAACACACATAAATAAATAAAATAAAGGTACTGTGTCCATCTACAATAAAAAATACATACATACATATATATACATATATATATATTATAGATCAATTTATTATACCATATAATCTAATAAAGTTGATTCAAAATGTGTTTTTAAAAGTTTGAATGAATAATTACAATGTTAAAGAGAACTGAGGTGTAATGGTAACAATTAAAACATTATTTCAGCCAACATCCTTTGTCACATCAGCTGCTGCAAAAGAGCATTCATTGGTTAGGGAGTAAGGTCATGTGGGTTCTAATCCTGTTCTGTTATTAGGCAACTGTAGAAATTGGGGCAAATCATTTTACCTTTATATCAAGTCTCTCAAATGTAAAAGGAAGGGAACATGTTGGATTAATATTCTGATATTCTGACTCTGACCACTTTTAACCTTTGTGGTGAACACTGCTGGGGTCCTATCTAAATATTCTTAGATCTCTTTTCCCAGGTCTGTGCACCTGGTCCCTGAATTTAGCCATTCTTCCTTGTTAATATATGGTTCATTCTTAAAGGACTCCAGAAGATAGCTCTTGGGCACTCAAGAAACCTTCCCTACAGCTAAAGATTAACCAGTGAAACAGATAGGAAAAAATCTCCATGYACAGCAAATTCTGAGATGTAGATTACACTCCAGATCCGATCCCAATCCTGTGGAATCTGGGACTTTAGAGAAATATGACCTATGTCTGTATTTTCCCCTCACTATCCTCCTTTTCCTCATTTCCTTACTGGTTTATCCTGTGATTTCCTTCATAAATCACTTTCACTTAAATTCTTGGCTTAGGGCCTGCTTCCAGAAGAGCCCAACCATGTATAACCTTTTATAATCTATGCAAATTAAGTGAATCAAGTTTGATCCTGGGTGATAATTCTCATATCCTTCATGTGACAGTAACAGTGGGGGAAAGAAGGAATGGAAGAGAGAAAGAGGATGAATCACTCTTGAAAACACAAAAGAGGGGGCTGGGGTTGTGGCTCAGTGGTASAGCGCTCGCCTAGCATGCACAAGGCACTGGGTTCGATCCTCAGCACCACATAAATGTAAAATAAAGATATTGTGTCCACCTAAAAATTAAGAATAAATATTTTTTAAAAAAGAAAATTTTGTCATTAACAGAGAAACTCAATAGTCAGTTCTAGCAATGTTTTTTAGGATACCGATGGAGAACTGAATAAGTAAACTGCCCTGGTTATTGAAAAACATAAAATCGGTTAGATTAAGACACAGCCTAATTACTTCAATAAAATTATTTCTGTATTCCATAACAACATCGCTCCTTAGATTTTAAGCATCTGATATCATATCATACTTGAAAATACCACCACAGCCCATTTTGAGCTGCTTTTTCAGGGGTAGAGAGAGTATATTAGTCAGCCCAGGTGCCACTCTCAAAATGAAAGGTAGAGATGGGGGG